CTCGTCTTTGCCGCCACGCCACTCCGACTGACAAGTCTTAACCAAACACGGCGAATGGAATAGACAGAAAGCCTCACTTCTCATCAGCATTCACTCAGAAACGCAGGCTTTTCACATATAGGACCAGAAAGAGTCCGATTGTATACATCGAAAAAAAGGTTGTTTAAGGGGAAGGAGGATTGAAGACCAAGAAAACGTTTTCTGTAATCCAGAATGGCGAGCGTTAATGAATGAACTTAGCTGCTTATTTTAGTTTTGCAGCATGAGATGAAGCTCTGTCGAGGAATGTGAGGTCGTTTCACTCTCACACTGTACTCTTCACTGTCCCTGCAGGCGCAGCGGCCCCCAATGTGTTTTTTTTATTCTGGAATAGAAATGTGAAATTAAAGCTGCATGGTTTCATATATCCAGTGGTGAAAAAACTAACTCTGCAAAAATAAGAATGATCAGCTTTGTGATACATCACATTATTTAAACTATTCAAGAGTTAAAAAAAAAAAGAAAAACGTGTTATACAATCCAGTAATTAAGTTTTTTAATATTACAGCACTCTGGGAGAAACCATTCTGCATACTTAATGTATTCACTTTTCATTTCCAGGCACACTTTGAAGATTCTACTTCAACTACTACTCGTTATAACATCAATCAATTATGACTAAATGACTTTTATTTCTGAGAGTGTTACACAACAATAACCTGCTTTATCAGGACATAAGGTAACACTTTAACTTATAGGACCAATCAGTGAGATGTGTAGTGAGTGAAATGATAAAGGTATCTTACTATCTGATCAGACATTAAGGAAACATGCTATGTTGAAGTGCTGGCTTCTCTGACAACAATGCAGCATGCTCTGCATGTTTCTAATAAGCTCCACGAGCAGAAACGTGCTCAAACTAGGATCAATATTGGAGATGCTTTTGAAAAATGGAGAGAGGTTAGAACACAGAAAGGTTTACAGACCCATGCAGAGCTGGATAAACACTGAAGCTTCAGAGTCCACCACATGGTGACCTGAGTGAGCATCCACTCTAGAGAGGAGGGGAGACAGCTCTCTACAATGTTTTGAATTTGGACTGCAGTACCCATTTTAAACACTAGGGGTCAGAGTTACATACTGCTCCTTTAATGATCACAATATTCACCATTAACTAGATGCTTATTAGCCTGCTAATTAGTAGCATACTGGCTGCTAATTAGTCATTCTTCAGAACTTATTAGTACCTTACCAAAAAGATCCTGATTAAAATGTTGATTCATTTGTAATGGTGCACAGACATCCATGACACCCGTTTCATCAAACTACATCCCGCCCACTTAAGACAGTTATTCAAGCACAGCCAAATATGGAAATCTCTCCTGCGATATATGAAGAAAAGGATCCAATTTTGGCAGAATAATATGTGTATTCTCTAACAGCTACAGCTCTAATTAACGAGTCAAACCTGCTGTGAAGCTAATCAGTGAACGTCTGATTCCAAACTTGACTGCATTAAACTTCTTTGATGATTGTTGTTTAATGGTGCATGGAATATAAGATCTTTGTATATAACCTTTTTGTTATGTAAACCTTCAGTTTGTAATAGAAGAAACTCTACTGCCATTGTGTGCACACTTTTGTTTTTCATTAACACGAGAGCCATGTGGGATTAGTTTTAATGACTGGTTTAATGGAACTGTGTTTTAAATTAAACATAAACAAATAAATCAATGAAAACATTATGATGTGATGATGTTGTGGTTGTGAGGCGTCTAAAGCACACTTCACTAGCAGGCTCATACACAGTGAGTGGAAATATAAACTATGAAATCTACAAAACCATTCAAACTTTCTACAACTCTACAGTTCATTTATCAGACGATTTTGTCCAACGCCAACCTTGTTGTTTTGTTTTTTTGTTATTCTTTGTTCAGCGCCTTTGAGTATTTAGAAAAGCGCTCTAAAAGTCTAATGCATTATTATTATAAAGCGACTAACATCAGAGAGTAAGAACAACACAAGCAAGGATCTAGAGAGGAGGAGACAACGTCAGGAAGTCCAAACAAACAGCTTAAAGTCTGCTCAGACACACAGGTGCTGACAGGAAGTGACCAGAGGTGCTGACAGGAAGTGACCAGAGGCAAAGCACAACATTGACAGCTGTTCTTGAGAGCTCTAATCAGTATAGAAACCATCCTAAACATCTTCATCATCATTAAGTTAGTAGGTATTCATGAAAGAGCTGGGTCTTTAGCTTTTTCTTAAAGGTGCAGAGGGACTCTGCAGATCAAATTAAAGTTTAGTTCATTCCACCACCGGGGGGCGACAGAGGAGAAGAGTCTAGTCAGCATCTTAGTTGTGAAGGTTGGATCAGAAGCCTTTCATTGGCAGAGCGTAGAGGGGGGAGGGAGTGTAGACCTGGATCAGAGAGTTAAAGTAAGGAGGAGACGTTATCGTAAGCGAGCAGCAGAGTTTTAAATTTGATACGAGCAGTAACTGGGAGCCAGTGGAGGGAGAGGAACAGCAGAGTGATGAGTGACCAGTTGCGCTGCTGTGTTTTGGATCATCTGTAATGTCTTGATGGTGCATGTAGGAAGACCTGCCATGTAGGAAGACCTGCCATGTAGGTGGTTGAAATAATCAATGCGTGATATCAAGTGAGTCTGTACCAGGAGCTGTGTTTCATTCATGAAGGTCAAAAGTAAGAACATACTTTAAAGTTTACTTCAGAATGCTAATGGAGTATTTTTATATTTAAAGACAACAGAATGCAGTTTTCATATATAATATTTGTTCTACAGTTAAAAGAAAGTGCACATATAAAAGCCTGAGGCATCAAAGAAGTAGCAGCAGCAGCAGTAAGAGAAGCTAAAGGCTAAGCTAGCTTCCACAGAAGGATTGGGACAGCTGGTGTAAGAACAAGAGTGAAGAACTTGTACAATCCAGCGAAGAGAGAAATTCACAACCAAATAACAGGCACAATGAGGGATTCACAGACCCATCTGCGTCTGTCGAGGGCCCACGGTGAGATTACACTCGGCTAGTGCTGGTATGGGGTCTGGTGTGAAGTGCTTCCTACACAGGATGGATAAGAATGAGCATTATGTAATAATGATAGGAGGGAGGAGCTGACGGGGTCTTACACAACCTCTTAACCCCCTTTAACCCTTATTTACTTTGTGATTACAAAGAGTATGCTATATAAATAAATCAGCTTTATAAGTAGGAAGAAATCCAACTGGTCTATAAAACTAGCAAATAATCTTCTGTTAGCTTATTGACATTCCAGTGACACAATTGAAAACGACCAATGACCTTTCTCCTGCTTGGTGTGCCGTTTGATTGTTTGGTTCATACCACTGCCTCTCTGCAGTCTGTCTGCCAGTTACTCCTTTAAGAAGATAATTGTCTGCATGGTAGTGTTAGCCCAGTATGGTTGCAATAAGCTGTTTGTGTTCTGTGCATTAAGAGACGGGCTAGGCTAACATTAGCTCCAGCTGGCGGCCTCCTGCTAGCTAGCAGGTTTGATAAAGTGCCATTTCCAAAGAAATGTTATGATGTTTAACAACTGACAACTTTATGCAGTACAGTCATTTTGTAAATCCACAGATTCCTGTTGTGACTTTGATTCTGATCACTTGCTGCTTTTCCATCCAGTCGGGTCGCGGTGGCAGCAGGCGCAGTAAGTCAACCCGGACGTCCCTCTCCCCAGCATCGTTTTCCAGCTCCTCCTCCTGGAGGATTCCGAGGCGTTCCCAGGCCAGATGGGATATAAATAATCCCTCCAGTGAACTCTTGGTCTACCCCAGGGTCTCGTCCCAGTTGGGCCTGCCCATAAAAAACATCCAAAGGGAGGCGTCCAGGAGGCGTCCTGAGCAGATGCCACCTCAGCTGGTTCCTTTTCGATGCAAAGGAGTAGCCGCTCTTCTTCGAGGTCCCCGGAGTATCTCATTTTGGCTGCTTGTATCCACAATCGAATTTGTTCGGTCACTACCCAAAGCTCTGGTAGTCTTTTACCCAAAGACTTGTGTAAATCAGTGTGATGAAAGATGCAACAGAAAACTCAGAGTACTTGGCCTTTTCGATTCCACAGGTGAGGGTCGGAGCGAAGACCAACCGGTAAAATCGAGAGCTTTGCCTTCAGGCTCAGCTTCATCTTCACCGCCAAGGCCGAATTACTGCCGATGCCAATCCGCCCATCAAGCTCGCGGTTTATCTTACCCTCACTCGACCTTGAGATATTTAAACTCCTTCGCTTGGGGCAAGGACTCGCTCCCCACCTGGGTTAGGGAGCAATCCACCGTTTTCCAGCAGAGAACATGGTCGGTTTTGTGGCTTTTGGTTAGTGTCTTTCCTCCAAGACTTCAGCCGAAGGCTAAATACACAAATGTATACAACGTTGGTGACAGTGTGAGTGTGCTGTGTACAGTGGAAAGGACTACCCCAGATCAGCATTGTGCCACGCTCTCCGAGGGCCTGCCCTGCTTCTACCTCTGAAAATAGAACAATAAGGAGGCCTGCTGGAAATAGTTTTGTGTCACATCGTGCTAAACCTCGTCTCTACACGAGAGGAAGCAGAGCGGCTTGACGGACGGCGCTGACAGCCGTAATGATGTGTACATTACGCGGTCGACGTTGCAGTGTTCTCCCGGTGGTGGAAGAGCAAACTCATTTTATGAACACAACGAACGCTAAAATATTCATAACAAACAAGAGAATGAGGCCTGGCTGCCTCCTCCTACCAGACCATTAAGTTCCCCTTTGTGAGGGTTAATTATGTCAACAAATGACTTATGTGATCTCAGCAGCGCCGCCATACCGCCTATAGGTTCAGTCTCTTACACACTCAGACAAATGAGTGGTTTTTGTACAACAAAGACAAGAATTATAATGGCGTTCAGTGAGGACGATTTGTATTGAGGCCGATAGTGCTCGGGGGAGGGAAGATAAATTGCTCTAATAAAAGACAAACAAAAGCCAACAAGAAAGAGATCAGACGGGAGAAGACGAAGACTTACAGCTCGGAGAGTTGGAGGTGCTGGAAGAGCTGCCATGACAGAGTGCTGAGAGGATTCTTTGACAAGTTTCTGCAGAGGGAAGAGAGAGAGAAAAAAAACAAAGAGAAGGTTAAAATGAATGATTTCATGTCATTTGCTTGATGTCATGCGTGTTCTGTTTTTAAACCACTTTGTGTGTCCTCTTTGGTTTCAGGAACCCAATTAGCGTATCTTTCTCGGGGTCATTTTGACTGTTTTTCTCGCTCACTTTTGAGGTAAAATTAAATTAAATTCTTTTTATGTTTTGCTTATCACAAGCACACATCTTTCTGTTTTTTTATCCTACTGGTGCTGTGATGTGTATCTGCCCAGTCAAATAAACTCAATCTCAGTCAAATCAAATAAATTCAATCCGACTCAAATAAAAAGAAAGTGGAAAAAAGCAAAGGGGTAAATGCACAGTGCTGCAGAATAAGGAGCGCTATTGACAGTGAAACGACAAAAACAGGCCCCGGCTGTGTGCAGCTTCAGGCCTGAGCCAACTCAATAAAAGAAAGTTGACCGCTTTCAAGTCCAATAATTCAATAGACTTAAAGAACCCCTCCGCTTCTGGAAGCCTCTAAATTCAATAAGAAATAACCAGAAACTCCAAAGTGATTTGACCAGAACTTTGAATCCGTTTAAATACGAACACCAGGCATCTGTATTTACAGTTATTATGAAATACAGCATCTCCGAGGGAGGATTTACACAGCAGTTAGTCATAGAAAACACACCATCAGATCCTTTTATCAGCCCGTGCAGCTTCACTGAAAGGCTCTTTGTCCCCCCCCCATCCCCCGATGTCAAGGTTTTGACTTTCCCGTGTTTAAACGGCTCAAATGCTCTGCACATGTCTGCAGCTTTGAATGCAACACCTGATCACCACGTGCATATACGGGCGATAATGAGTCCTCCACACAGAAGTGACACATGCAGGATGTGCCATAAAATAAGGGAGCAGACAGCGAGGAAAAACAGGAGGAATGTCTGACTCATATGAAACATTTAACATGTCTGCTTGTTCAATTCTGACTAAAACTTTACACAAATCTAAAAATATATAAATCTGGAACTCAAGAACAGAAGTGAATATTTTAAATATTTTATTTCCTGCTAGTTAGGAACATTACTGATTAAATTCATTATGACACACACACATACACCTGCACACTCACACACACACACACACACACTCTGTAGTGGGTTCATTTGTATGGAAGACCTATTAGGTACTCCTGTTACAAGAATTGTCGCCATGGCAACAGGAGGCTAAGGATGTTGCAGGTCTTTCTTATTTCCTGTGATATCACACGGACACACACTGAATCACAAGTTCGCATTCAAACACACACACACACACACGCACAAGGATGTACAGACACACACACACACACACACACACATGCAGGAAAAAGCAACAGAAGTATTTTTTGCATGGAGTCGCTCTTTAAAGGCAGCTAAGTAGCTTCACCTTGAAATGTGTGCTTTTGTGAATGCAGCGCTGTTCTGAATACTGGGAGTGTGTGTGTGTGTGTGTGTGTGTGTGTGTGTGTGTGTGTGTGTGTAGATATGTAAAGATGCTGCATGAAATTTCACCTCCCAAAGAAAGAAAAACCTGCTCTCCCAATGGGACTGTGTGATACACTGAGAGAATATATTACATCGTGGAGTGAGAGAGAGAGAGAAAAGGTGGGCGAGCAAACAGCAGCTCTCAGGGTGATGCAGAGCAGGGCGGCTCAACACTTACGTCAAATCACACACCTCAAAATAGACTCGCATTTATCCCACAGATCTCCAAAGACACACGCGTCAAATGCAGACCCTTAAATAGGCACACATTAAACCAAAAATCTCCAGATGTAGAGTAGTACTCCACAGAAACACACACACACACACACACACACACACACACGTCATAATTGCTCTATAACATTTTACCTACATCCATTTCTGGTTTTGAGTAGTACAGAACCAACATAAATACCATTGTGTCTCTTAGCCGTATTCACACCTATAGATCGTTTGCTCTGGTCTGAATCACGGACCAGTTTGATCCACTTGGTCGAGTTTGGTCTGCTTTCACACGTGAACATTTACAAGAGGACCAATACGTCTGATGCAAAAGGGAATGCTGGTTTGAATTTCTTCTGGGAAGTAAACAAAGACTTGCTGAGTCCTGATAGGCTGCTCCAAAGACACGCTCTGCTCATGGGTTTTAATATTGTTTGTATTATTACAGTTTCTATAATTGTTGCTTTGCATTCCTGTTTCTAATTTTATAGCTGAAGCTAGGCCAGCTGTTAGCTTTAGCCGTGCTTGAATGAGACAGACAAAAGCAATAATTACAAACGCTTAAAGGAGCGATATGTAACTCTGACACCTAGTGTTTAAAATGGGTACTGCAGTCCAAATTCTAAACATCATAGAGAGCTGTCCCCCCCCCTCCTCTCTAGAGTGGATGCTCACTCAGGTCACCATGTGGTGGACTCTGAAGCTTCAGTGTTTATCCAGCTCTGCATGGGACTGTAAACCTTTCTGTGTTCTAACCTCTCTCCATTTTTCAAAAGCATCTCCAATATTGATCCTAGTTTGAGCACGTTTCTGCTCGTGGAGCTTATTAGAAACATGCAGAGGCTTTTTAGGTCGGGTACAATCACTTCTATCTGAACCACTTCTCTTGACCGCTTCCATCACTGCAACACCTGTTGACCTGATAACTGCTCTCATATCTGACAAACTGAGGGGCGTCCAAAACGGCCGTGTGGTCTAAACAAATCCAGAGCATTCAGGAGCAGAATCTAAAGTTAGAAGGAGGACATACTGGCTGCTGCATTGTTGTCAGAGAAGCCAGCACTTCAACACAGCATGTTTCCTTAATGATCAGATAGTAAGATACCTTTATCATTTCAGTCTCTACACATCTCACTGATTGGAACGTTAAATCTTTTCATCTGAATCTGAGCAAGATACCAATAAAGCATTTTCAAATTAACTTCAAACTATGGTCTGTATTCTCCTCCCATCATCATTGACATACTTCTGAGTTTAAGATGTTGTTTACAATTATTCCGGTTTCTGGCATGCCTGTGGATATGGATATTTGAATATCAAAGGCGGATTATAGAATACAGGTTAGTAGCGTCTTTTAAAAGCCACCTTATCTATTCAAAAGATAGTCATAGAAGAATTAACAGAGAGAGAGAGAGAGAGAGAGAGAGAGAGAGAGGAAGCAGATGAGTGGAGAGGAGATTGACTCAGAGGAGTGTTTTCTGAGCAGAGAGTGAGACCTCCTTCACATCTCCGGCGGGAAGTGTTCAGTTTTCAAAGGTCATTCTTCGCATCTTGACAAGAAATGTCAGCTAAAATTGGATTGAGAGGGGGTAAATGAATTAATAAATATATAAACAAATCAGCAAACAAGCCGTCAAAGACGCTGGAATGCTGGGAGACAGGAGGTGAGGAAGGCCAAGTGCTGTGGAGAAGGGCGGCCAGAAGATTATTAAATTAAAAAAATTAGCGGTGTAGAAAATTAATCTATTTACCAGCTAGGCAGCTCTGTTTCCAAGCGTGGAAGGACGTTTATTGCCCACCCTACAAACACACACACACACACACACACACACACAGACCTTCTTCATCACGTTGACTTAACCATTAAACAGACATAGCATCAGCATCCAGTGATGGAGCCAGAAATCGTCTCCGGCGTGGCTCGTTTGAATGAGGAATTCTAATGATGTGATTCACATGAAACATTTATTAGGTGGGGGTAAGAAATATGCGTTACAGCGGCGGATGTATCTAGGTGTTAATATTGATGACAGGGTTGGCTCCCCCCAGCACGAGGGCCATGAAGTGAATGCTAAAACTGAAGCAGGGTGTTTGCTCCTCCGCAGAGGAGGTGCAGCTCCTCCCCCCCCTTCTTTAATAATTCTGTTTGGCACAGATGCCATTGGGAGGGCCGGGCTACTCGAGAGGGTTGGCTAATTAGTGCAGCATCACTGGTAGCTACTGTGTGAGTGTGGGGGAGCTCGGCAGATTGACATTCAGGAGCACGCAAGGGGGAAGCAGACATCCACTGAGCAAGGTGTCGCAGCCGATCAGCACTGTGGACCGTCAAGACATCAAGTCGTCATCCGTCAAACGCCGGAGAGAGGCTCGCTGATATTTACTGCAGAATAATTGTTTCCTCTTCTTGTCGAGTTTAGCAGCATTTTGTTTCTCACAAAGAGATTTAAGTGTTCTGTCTCAACACCCTTCATGTTAAGGAACGCTGACGACTGCTTTTTGTGAAAACACAGCGTAACCAGAACGGCCATGTGGAGGTCATCGTGCAAGGAGGACTGAAGGCTCACAATGCTAACAATGCTAACATTCACTACTTGTTTCCATCTGATGCTATGATCCCATAACTGTGTTTTCTTAGTGCTTTCTTCTTACCGCTAGAGCAGTGCTTTCCAAAGTGTGGGCCGTGGCCCCCTGGTGGGCCATGTGGGTACTGCAGGTAGGCCGCGAAAAGCCCTCCACCAATTTTAAAAATAAACAAAATATCACAATAATGATGATTTATCATGATTTAACCATTTAAGTGATTTGTAAGGCCTGTAATGACTATTCATGGACATAATGTTTAGTAAACTTTTGTGTCTATCTTGCCATAATATCATGTTGCCATGTCCAATTATTTACCCTTACTGAAAGTTATAGACGTACATTTTTTTTAGAATGGGCCCCGGAGTATTTCTGTATTTCAAAGCAGGCCGCATCAGTCTTAAGTTTGGGAAAGGCTGCTCTAGAGTACCCTAACCCTACTTTTTACAGCCCACTTACCGACCGTCCCAAAGCTGAGAGATCACAAATAACAAGTTAAAGTAAAAAAACAGGTTTAAACTGTTTAACATGTTTTTATGCCACTCAGCGCTCTGCATGTCTGCCTGATGATACTCAGACCATATTTCATGCTTTTCATTGTCATCCCTGCTGGTGTAACCGTGCATCTCATGGTCCACCGGTCCATTGCACCGGCCCCCCTCGACAGCCAAAACGTCTGCATGTTCCCTGCCTGAACGCACACACAAGATAGAGCGCTCAATGTACGTCGATGTGTATATTAAACCACAGCTGCCATGCATCTATTACAGACTCAAAGGACACCCAGCTATTGGAGATGTTATCTTAAGTCTTTGACATGGATTTATCTGCTGTAGATCTTCATTTCCATAGAACTGTTGGGGTCTTTTGGGGTTGGTGCATAATCCAAACCATGAAAAGCACTATCATGTAAGCTCTAAAGAATACCTGATGGGATCTTTTTAAACCAGCTTGACAGCTCTACCTTGTCTAGTATCACATTGCTACATTACCTGTTTCATGGGCTCCGTCAGAGAAATCATTATTTTTTTCTCCTGTACACCAACAAACACAGAACAAAGACTTCACACTGCGCTGCAGCTTCCTCCTCCATCCCCAACCTCCACTCATGAGTGGATGCTCTAAGTGTTGTTGATGTTGCTAAGATCTTTTGTTCTCTTATGAGCGCGCTCTGTAAATACATCTCTTGAAGTTCTTGTATTGTTCTGGGGATCACTTCTTTTTTTGGTTGAGACTCCCCGCAGCTGCTCGGATTCTTTGAGAGCTCCTTCAAAGAGACGGCGTGCAGCACAATGGGCCTTTAACTGTCGAGTAACCATGGCAACATACATGGTCTAAACTGCCTCATTGTGCGAGGGGGGGGCCTTTCACTGGACTGGTCGATTGCAAATGGTTTTACAGCAGTCTTTGTTTGGATTGGTCTTTGGCCTTAGACATTAATAGTGTTTGGCTGAACAGTGTTTTTCTGCTTGGAGCACACCCCCCCCCCCCCTTCAGAACAGTGAGGGGTTACATTTACAGCTTCCTGCTTCCTGCTCCAAAAAGGCTTCAATATTTATTAAAGCATTCTATTGTTGTAGTTAAGTACACACTAACCGAGACCAAGACATACCCGAGACCAGAGTGCTGCAAGACCGAGACAAGACCAAGACCAGGACCAAAACCAAAACCAAGACCAAGACCAAGACCAAGACCAAGACCAAGACCAAGACCAACACCAACACCAACACCAAAACCAAGGCAGGGCGAGACCGAGACAAGACCGAGACCAAAACCAAGACCAGGACCAAAACCAAGGAGAGATCGAGACCGAGAACGAGACCGAGACCGAGACCGAGAACGAGACCAAGACCAAATCCAAGGCGGGCCGAGACCGAGACCGAGACTAAGAAGAATAGGAAAAACAGCCAATCAGCAGTGGTCTTGATTTAAAATCTGGAGTCCGCCCAGTCTGAGACCGAGACCAAGACCTTCAGAAGGTGGTCTGGAGATTTCCAGTCCTACAACACTGATGCTTTCCTAACCGAGACGTTTGGAGACGGTTCATTCTCTTGAATTTGTAAACTCATTTAAAGTTTGCATAACTTCCTGCTGAAGATTTCCTCTTGTGTTAAATGAAGAAACCTTTTTGGTTTGAATCGTCGTCTGAAGTGAGAAAACTTGAGGAGTTACTTATAAACACGGGAGACGTTATTGAACAAAGAGTGCACACTGTGGCATCATTAGCAAAAAGCCTGACACTGATGTGATCCCTCAACCTCTAAAGATCCTCTCCGTCTTGTTTCCTCTCACAGAAGACGTTCAGCTGTTTCTCTTCTTTTTCTCATTCGTGCCCTGAAAAGTTCTTCTTTTTTTATGTTTTCTAAAGAAGTGCAGATGATTTTTGGCACAGTCTAACCTCCGGGACACTTTATGTAAAACGCGGCTGACAGGCTACTCAGTGACTTGTCTCATTTGTTTACAGTAATTACCCAAATGTCTCCAAATCAATGAGGTCATGATTTATTAATGCCTAAATGAGTTAATTAAAAATAGAATAATTTGCACAAAGCAAATTAAGTTTGTCTTCTCCCCCCCCCCTCGTAACACTCACACACAGTGCTGTTAAAATTAAAATAAGGGAGCAGCCTTACTGTAGCTGCAGTGCACAGACCCCCCAGAGACCCCCCCCCTTTCTTCTTTAGGTCCGAGTCCCCGCTGGTGAATGACAAACTGAGTCCCTATCCGATGGTGCAGACTTTTCAGTAGGGGGTTTCGGACTGAACCCTCGTGGTCATTCAGTGGTCATTTTTTGGGTCCACCTCAGTAGACTGAACATTTCAGCATGGAGTCTAACTTCCTGGTTTTGTGCAGTATGATTCGGATGCACCCTTTCAAAAAATGAGTTGTATTTAAACACCCACAATGCAGTGCGAAAATAAACGTAAGACATCACTTCACATGCGCCTGCAAATCAAAACAAACGAGAATGGCATGCGGCCGGTTCGAGTAACGCGCCTTTTTCGAATGTTAAAGGGACACTTCACCTGTTGAAACATGAATCTGTGTTGACTTTGGGTCATATATGTAGAAATGTGAAATACATTTTGAAGTTGGTGCCTTCTTGGCCGAGAAAAGACAGAAAGTGTCTTTTTGGTTCATGTTGATGAAAGACACCAAATCCCAGAATGCACAGCATCGCAGGCCACTCCCACAGAATCAGAAATACTTTATTAATCCCAGAGGGAAATTTTGATCGTTACAGTTTCTCCAAAATATACAATATAGCAGTAAAAAATATAGTAATAAAAACATTTACAGACACATAAGGCCCGTCTACTGTCAGACTGAGGACGCACCCTTACAGTACTAACATTTCTCTTCTGTCCAATCAAACATCCCAGATTGGTCTGCCACAAACCCACCATGGGGGCCAAAGTGTGAATCATTTATGAGAAAAGAATAAACACTTTTTAAGAAGCACTGATGCGATGTGCCTCAGTGACACAGCGCTTGTACAGTATTATTGATAAGGGAATTAAGATCTCCCTCCTTAGGCGGTTCAATCACTGGAAACACAAAGCAGGGGGAACGAGATCCATAAATTGTGTTGCAGGTACCGTATGGAATTCCTTTTTGTGAGAAACAGCCAAGGAGAAACTTCAAACAGCCAGCAGTTCATTATAACACCAGAACATTACTCGCCCCAAATCTGCATCGTGCATAGGTAAGAGTGGCTCTGGGGAAACGAGGGGGATAAAAATAGTCGATTCTTTTTAATCTCAGAGAAATCCTCTGCTGGTGGTACGTGTGTGCATGTGTCTCGCTAATCTTCCTGCAGAATTCCTCTCATCTGCTGTTAAACCTGTTTATTTCCTCCTGCACATTCAACGCAGGTGAGGACGAATAATCTGAAACCGGAGCGGCGGCTGAAGTTCCCCCGAGCAGGAGAGGTAACCCAGCTGCTCAGTAAGAGTCGAGTCATGTGTGCTGTGGATTCAGACAACTGGCCTGTCAGACCAGATCTCCACAAAACGAACAGTAACACTCCAACTGTTCAACCTTTAGCTGTGAGCTAGCTTGAAACAGACGCATCAAACCCGAGTGTGTGTGTGTGTGTGTGTGTGTGTGTGTGTGTGTGTGTGTGTGTGTGTGTTTGACTGATCTCAGAACTCACCAGGAGCTCGTCTTTTCTTTCTTTTCTTCTCTGTACTCACAAAAAAAAGATTCCTCACCCCCCGGGACGGCTCTTGAATATTTCATTCTCGTTGGAACATCTTCATGTGGATGTTTCTTCACTTAGTCTTGAATTCAGGTCACGTGTTCTTCTTCCTGTTACTTTTCACACGTTTGTGTGGCCTCTACCTTTAACCCTTACAGTCTGAACTTTAACAGTCTCTACCTGAGACCGAGCAGTCATTGGCAGGGCCGATTAACATCTTCTTCCTGCACTTCTTTTTCAGTGCTCAGCGTTCTGTGTGCAAAAACTCCCACGGTGTGTCAGCTGTTTTTCATGGCCACACTCACAGCGCTCTCTGTTGTAAAAAAGTTTAACTTTTGGAGCAGTGTTACTTTCACAACGTCAACCAATCAAAATCAAGAAGGGGAGGGGCTTATAATATCATCTACGTTGGCAAACATGGCAGAGGAGAAGCTAATCTGAGGCCATGTCAGGATTTGGTCTCATTTAGTTTTGCATTTCAGCGTTTAGGTTTCTATATTTTAATTTCTCCTGTCCATCCCGTTTGTTGCTTGTTTCCCTTCTGTGTTTTTGTCTTAATGTTTCATAGTTTAGTCTTTAGTGTTTCCTGTTTTATTTTGTAGTTTCTTATTCTTGTGTTTCTTTGTTACATTCTTGAGTTCTGTGTGTCTTTAGTGTTTCTTGATTTAGTTTGTAGTTGTCCTCAGTGTTTCTTGTGTTTATTCCTGCCTCTGTGTGTTGCCTCCATGTTGATTACCTTCATTGTCTTCACCTGTGTCATTAGTCTCACCTGTGTCTGATTACCCCTGTGTCTATTTAGTCTCCTTCCCTCGTGTTGTCAGATCATTGTTGTAAGTAGAGTGTAGTTTGTGCGTCTATGTCAGAGTTTCCAGTGTTTCCTCGTTGGCGCCTTGTTTTCCCCTTTTGGATTTTTATTGAACATTTTGAATTCGTGAGTTTTGTTTGTCTTTGGCTTTTTGTTTAATACATTTAGTTTTCTTTGTATCTGCACTTGGGTTCACCTCCTTTGTTCCTTCAACCAATCATGACAGGCCAACACATCCTGAATGTTTGATTTCAACATAAATCCCAACCCTGGAAAAGTAAATAGCCAATCATAGTAAAGCAGTTTGGGGTATCACATGGGGGGGGGGGCATAAGAGGCCATCCCCTGGCAACTCATCTGGACATGCCCCCCCCATTAATGTCTAAACCCAATATTTTACCAATCAAATGTAAAACATTTTGATATTTCATTGATTTAATGTATTTTTTTATTTTTTATTAAGGTTTATTTTTGGGCTTTTTTGGAGAGATAGGACAGTGGATAGAGTCTGAAATCAGAGAGAGGGGGGAATGACATGCGGGAAGGGAGCCACAGGTCGGATTCAAACCTGGGCCGCCCGCTTGGAAGACTACAGCCTCCATACATGGGGCGAGCACACTAACCACTGCACCACCAGCGCCCCAATTTAATGTAAATTTGTATCTTACTTTGATCGTTAAAGTCACACAGATGCCTCCTCTGAACACGCTGAGTGTTTCTACCAAATCTTACAGCGAACCAATCGATGGTTAGAGGAGGTCAGCACGGTGTGTACGATGGATTCAGCAGTTTTGGACTGATTTGAATGTGACCCAAAGCGGTGGACTAACCAACCGGCCGACATTACCATCCTAATACTCACACATATGAAATCCTTCACTCAAAAATGATGACTACCCGTTCGTCCAATCAAAGATGGCGACCTGAAATCATTGCTCTTTGTCTTCAGCCTCATAACAAACAAAAAGGCCTCACGATGACTCACAGCATTAATAACATCCCATAATATCTGTTACTTTCATTTCCAGACGAGGAATGATTATTTTTAATAATAAGTCCTTTAATCCTGCCTTTTCACTATCTCTTATATGAATCCTGCTTTCAGTTTAATAACACCAACAAATCGCTCTCCGTGCGGTAGCATTGTTTGGTTTGATTGTTATCTGCAAAGGGAGTATTTTTGGGTTTATTTCTGCACTCGTTGATAGAAAAGCGCGGGAAGATGAATGGGCTCTGCGTAAAGGGTTATGAGGCATAGGCACGACACTTTACATGCAAGCTCAGTGAGCCGCTAAGTCGGTTTAGCGCTGCTACAGTTCAGGCATATTTAACAGGATATTTCTCTGCCATATCACACAAGGTTTTTGGTTAGTCAGTGTAATTAATCCGAGACAATATTGTGCACAGTCATCCGTCTACTCCCGCTGATTGCACGGGAGAGAAGTGAGTCAACGTTCCAAGAGATGAAGCCTTTAAGCCATGATTCTGATTATTTCTCCAGATAGGAGGAGAAAGGCTGTTAAATGCTGTAATGAAAAACTGCCATCAATCTGATGAGACAAGCAATGAGAGAGATCTGCTGCCGTGGTGCGACAGCTTCACCAAAAGGTAGATTCAAAAACCTTTAAGCCATCATCATCAGATTTTTAAAAAACAGAGCCTCAGACAACACAATAATGTGCGTTCCAAGAGACAGGCAGGAGGAGGGAGGGGGAAACAATAATGGTGGACTTTTCTGATCTGGAGTCGGGGGGCTTTATGTTCCCATGGAGAAAAGTTTTGCTGCTTGTTCAGCGGAAGGCACACACTGCCAACCTGTTCTGGCCTGCTGCTTTATGAAATGCCTCTTGCTGAAATCGATAAAATGTTGGAGTTGATTAAAACACCAATAAAGACACCCGGGAGTATTTTTCTCTTCAGACGACTACAAGACCATTCTCACACTCTCTCTCAGCCCCCTTTGTTTCTGAGTGCTTTTTCCTGCAAGCAAGAGAACAAAGTATAATTACACCGAATACATCCCGTAATAGTGTGATACCACATTGTTAAACATCTGTGTCAGCGGTGAAAAAGTACTCTGATGTAATTGAACAGAGTTTGAAGGCTCTGTCCTTGACTTGTAAAGACATGAAGGAAGTCCAGAGGAAGAAACTGAAGACAACCAAGAGTTTTTTTGGCACCTTTGCCTTTCAGAGCAGGACTCCCTTAATCCTCTGCTGCGGCCTGGCTGAGTGCTTTTTAGCCATAATCCAGAGGTTTCCGAGCAGGGATCCAGGCGTTCATATGAGACTGACCTGCATCCAAATCCACTGCAGCCTGGAGCCTGCAGCCAGACCCAGAGTGCCACACTGGGCTCCTGCCGTACCCATTTGTAATACCACTGTCCTGAGGACTGGATTAAACATTGTTTCAGTTAATTAAAACAATTCGACCAAGCCGCAGGCCCGGGCCCTGTGTTTCTGTCTTTCACCACACACTGATTGTTTCTCCCCACCAATAACCGAGACTGCAGCCATGGGAGCCGCAAGGAAAAAGCGGACATCACTCTTTAGAGCACTGAAGGTTTGTGCAATCAAACCTCTTATCATCTAGATGTGGAGCTGGGGAATCCTGCGCTGCTGTCAGAAGCTGCAGCGTGAGCTATTGTACAAATCCCTGATTTTCCTGCAGACTCGCTGAAATGCTGAAGCACTTTCCCCGAGAGAAAAAGGGTTTGGAAATGTTTTAATTTTGTTTACCTTTGCCTTCAGGGGCAGTAAAAAAAGTGAACTTAAATGGGATGCAGAGCGCTGTAGAACATTTGGAAACATTTGTTTGCAGTCGTGTCTGTGCTTTGATGCAGCTGTGCAAAGTGATGAAAGCTCCATCGGCTTGCTTTTGTTACATTCCCTTGCGAAAGGTATTCAAGCAGTTTTTCTCTATTTTGGACTGAAATGTAAAAATTAAAAAGCAGATCTGAGTTGAAGAAGACTTTCAACATGCGATGGTGACCATAAGCTCAGCGGGAAAATGTTTAACTGAGGTAATACTGTCACTGAGAGGTGGCCTCAACTTCTCATTGCCTTCCAAACAAACACATTTGGGATTTTTTGTAACCAGTCAAGTCGCCCCCTGCTGGTGGTTAATAAGAAGTCTTACACATGTTTCATGCTGACTTTAGCGTCGTCTCTAAAAAGGTCGTGGAGTTGATATGTTTAACAGAAGAAAAGATTCAGATAAAGCACTTGTGTTTGAGAACTCACACCATCACCGCTGTGTACCATCGAGTTGTAATTCCATCGAACTAAAGCATCAAGCATCGTCCTAAATGACTGATTTACAGCATCGTGTTGTTCATATTCACTCTAAAGGAATCTGTTCAGTTAAAGCAACAACATTTAACTTTTTCACCTCAGAAAAGTCGTATCACAGTCGACTTTCAACAGGGAGAATGGCGACTCAAAATATAACATGAATCAAGCACCAGAGGAGGTTTGTGACCCTGTAGAAACCAGCTCTCTCAGAACGCTCAGAACGCTCAGAACGCAAAAGTTTTGTTCTAGTCTGGGGGTGGAGTCCATGGATGGAGATACCAGGGGAGGGGAGAATCCCACTGTGACATCACAAGGAGAGCACATTTAAAACAAAGCACTTTTCTCTGTGTTGTAAGACTTATGCAGACCACAAACAAAGGACTGGATGGGTTTATTTCACATTTTGTGGATCAGTAGACTCTCAGGTTACCTTAATTTATGTTCAGAAACACTGTAAGAGTGGATTTTTCATAATATGTCTACTTTAAAGAAACCTTCCTTTACTTCACTCTGAGTGTGCATCTCCAGATGGAGTGTGAGATTTGGTTACTGTGGAAACCGGGCGACCAACTGCAGCAAAAAAAAAAAAAAAAAAGAAACCCTGACACAAAATTTTTTAAATTAAATTTGCCAAATCACTCTAGTTGACAGAGCGTTGTTTACTGGAGGAGAGAGGCAGACAGTCTCAACATAAATAAGATGTAACTAACACGTTATAGCGAGTGAGGGTCACGAGGGTCACTTCACTTTCTTCAAAGGTAGCCGTGTTTATGAGTTTGTTCTTTTTGTGACGCGGGAGAGCCTCTGTGTGCTGCCAAAGCATCTGCTGCGTGCGTTTGCTGTACGGCCAAACAGCTTGTTAACTGCATATAACATGTAAG